ATCGTGTGTAATATATATTTCTGTTTCATTGAAACTCATTACATAATTTAAAAAGATTCACGATGGTAGATAGAAACGAGCTTAAATTTGTTGCCAAGGCTATTAAAAGAAAATCACGTCGTTCATCGATTCTACTAGACCAAGATCCAGTAACATCATTATATTCAATTGATGACCAATCTTCTACCATAGTTGAAGAACCTTTTTCATGTTTGTCAACTTCTGTCTCCAATGATAGCATTCATAATATCATACGAAATGAGGCTTATCCCTATCATCCGCTAAACAATAACTATCTTCGTTCAGCCCATACTTATTCACATCCTCGGAGAGCTAAAGCACATCAAATGGCAAACGTTGGATCAGTTGATTCATTCTTTCTTGACTCAACACAACCACCTTTAGAAGTGTTTGTATTGCCGATTAATAAATCTGGCGGTAAACTTTCACTCATTTCAGAATCCATTGCAGAACAGGAACGAAATAGACCGCAATACAGTATATGTGGTAGAGAGTTAAATAGAAGAATAAGTGTTTCTCAATTAGTCTTTTTTTGGGAAACCGTTTTTCTTATTGGAACAAGGGCTGCTAGGAGGTACGCCGGATGGGGTCACTAAATTTATGAGTTTTTGTAATATATATTATAATTCGCGACACATTGACTGTTCTGAGAAATATTGAAGAAATATTGAAGAAATATTGAAGAAGGATGGATTCTGACTTTAGGTGCACGAATCAAAGAATGGTCAGAAGCGTTCATGTGAGATATATATGTTGTTTTAATAATTCTGTAATTCAAATATAATTAAATATAATTTGTGATCTTTTATACGGCAATTAGCTATGTTATTTAATTAAAATTTTAATTAAAATAATATGAATGTACGTACGTATGTACGATGCTTTCATTTAGTGATAAAATTGAGTTATGCAGAATTTTAATAGACATATGTATCAAGAGAACTAAACTAACGATATATGTAATGCCTGATGTTAGGTTAAGCTCCTATAGAGAAGCAGAACAACCGTAATTTCCCGGAAATGAACCATAATATATATATACTAAACGTTTATCAGATTAGCACTAATGTTGTTCAATTTATGGATTACGACTGTTTTTGTTAATACTTCAAATTTAGACTGCTTTTTTTTCATCCGGGCTGAGACACAATGCATTCGTAATTCAATGCTTAAGATATCTTCTGAATAAGCTTTATCATCAGCTGCTAATTTAAAATAATAGATCTTTCTTGTACTTCCCTTCCAAGATATCGATACTGTGTATCAGGATAGTCAATTGCTTTTTGATTTAACCTCTATCCTTTTCTTTATGATCCTTACCGATGTTTTACTTATATAGCATTTTTTTATAAATCTAATCAAATATGGTTTGGCACTTTAAATATTACAATATACAGAAATTAGAAAACACTTTATGGTGCTTAACACTATCTATAGTTAACTCTTTCTCTTTCTAAATGCTAAGACTTATTAAAAGATAAATTTTATATGGCTCTTTTCAGTGAATTTTTAAAAAAGTTAACGCTAAATGCTAAAGTGAGATTAATTCAAAATTAGTGTTCCGCACAGACCGGGATTTATACTAGAACCGGCATATAAAGTCGAGCCACTAACTGTCATAGGCAAAAGTTTACCTGATTGGTTAAACTAGATCTACACGTGAAAATTAACCAATCAAATTAAATAATTTTCATCAAATTAGTGTTAAGCCCGCCATTAAATGACGGCATATATAACAAAAGAGTTTCGATCATTTATTCATTAATGAGTTTAAACTTATTGCGTAATGTTACATTACATGCGATGTGCATAACTTTAGAATTTTTAATATACTATAAAACAGAAAAAAGTGCCCGGTCTAAGTGTTGTCACGGGACAGTTATGGATAGTAAGTTTGGACACTTTGGACAATTTTTGGACAATTTTTTGGACAATTAAATAAATCAAAATTACTCAAAATTTTATTAATATAACCTATACTGTATTATTTTCTAAGTAAAAAAATATATTATCATATATTTTTTAAATAAATGCTAAGAAAAGGGACGGAATTGACAAAAAAAAAGATCGGAAAATCAATTTTTATGTTGTAAATCTTATAATAAATCATAATAAAATGCAAACTTTAAAGAGCTATACTGCAAAAATTTTATTAAAACAACTACTTTTGTGTCTTAAGTGAAAAATGATCTTAATCTTGTTCTAAATTGATTTATGCAAAAAAAACATTTTTTGAAAAAATTCGTCCCTTTCTCAGCACCTAGTCCAAATTTATTACCGTATTTTCGCGTAATAACGCCCATGAGCGTTATTTTGAATTTTGGCCCGAATTTAGGGCAAAATTTGAAATTACACCCCTGCGCGTTATTACGCGAAAATACGGTAAATTTATTAATTAAGCTTGGACATGCTTTGGACACTTTTGGACACTTGGACATTGGACAGTACCAAAAAAGCCTTTGGATACAGTAGTCAAAACGTACATCACTGGTCTAAGATATAAATATAAAAAACCAATGAGTCATAATTCCGGCCAAGATTGTTGACCAGTTGACCAGATCCGAAGTAAAATAATTTAAAATTTCACCAAAAGAATCGCCGGAATTATAACTCGTTCGTCCTTATTTATTAGATCGTGCCGATGTTAATCGATAAATCTGTTGCATATTAAAAATTTTTTATACCATATTATAAGTCTATTAGATATTTGGTATTTGCTATTATATCAACAGACCAAAGCATCCGGAAAATGTGTACGTATCAGAGGTGATGTGCCGCTTCAGCAGAGACAGTGCCCCCTATGTAGATCTTCGTTTAACGTTACACAATTCATAAAAATTTTTTTTTTATATAATTTTAAAGTGCTTTTAACATCTTGTATTACTCGATTGCGCTAATAGCTAAGTGCCAATAAGTTACTAAGAAAACTTGAAGCTTTCATACCGTAGAAAACAATATTTGTTGAATCCCTTTGAATCCCAAAGCGTTAGTTTTTTATTCAAGATGACAGATGCCAAAGAATGCTTTGAATGTAAGGAGACTGTACAAAGAAATTTCATCAGTTAGGTGACGAAATGTGGCAAGAAGTTCAGCTTAAAGGTTTGGTAAGAGAAAACTGGACTAAAAACACTGTGTTTTGTAACCCTTGTCACATGAAATATGTAGCAAATCCTCTTAGACGAAAAAAAAGTTTTACTAATAAAATAGAAATAGAAAAAATTGAGATAGGCGTTATGGAAAAGGAAACAGAAGAAATGAACATATTAAGCGATAATTTTGAGCTCATTGATGCCATAAGGTCTATGATCAAAATTCTTCATAACAGAGAAGCCAAAGAAAAGCAAAAGCCGATTTATAATTTTGATGAATTACGGGGGTTACTTGAAGAGCAAGATCTTAATTTGAATTGTTTTTTTAATCAGTTGTATTTAGCAGCACGTCCGTCGAAACGTACCAGCCAAACTATGGAGCATATGAAAAAAATTATGGTGTTCATTTGTTACCTTCTCGTTTCATTAAATAATACCCAAATTAATGCTTTCAAATCAGACCTTGCATTTTATTTAGATTCGGCAGGAACGAGTAACGAAGGTCTAAATACAATGGCAAATATTGGTATAACAACAACGGCTAGGACAGTAAATCGCAAAAAGAAGAAAATATCTGAAACACATAATGAATGTATAAAAGATAATCTTATAGAGCATCTAAACAATGCTCTTGTAATTAATATCGATGATTACTATAATGTTCATGTCCCACATAAGGTTCATACTACGAATACGTCTTCACTGACTCATATGGCAACAATATTAGCAAATCCGTGCTTAACGTCTGCTATACCGCGTAGTCAGGTGCTAAATTCTAAAGTTGTTGATGGAGAATTAATCGTAAGACATATAGATAAGCGTTTCATCGTAAATCTTGGTGTTCCTTATCATTATGTAAAAAATTGTGTTAAAGAAGAATATACTGATATTGAATTATTGGCGAAACTTACTTTACATAGTTATAACGATAGGTTAACGGAAAAGAAAAGCGAACGGCATATTAAAAACTGTATCCTTTTTGATTTTACTGAATGCAGTTTAAAAGGAATTAATAGGTATTTGGATTCTCTTCAAGTGATTTACGAAAAGGAGCTAATGCAGGAATATCTTTCCAAGTTCGCGGTTCCTGTCATTGCGGACTGGCCTAGGCAATACTATATTCGTAAGGCCATAGCGCAAAAAGTTCTTTTAAATAATCAAGATATTTCTGAATTCATCACGACATTCTTATCTATGATGGGCCCTCTTCATGTGTTATTAAATGCCCGCGAACTTGTTTTTAAAAAACTTCTTTTTGTTTAATGATATTTACAAAAAGGTGTTTGGAAATCGTAAGGAGCTCGGTAAGAAACCACGGCCGTGGAGAATTGATTTAATTCTCTATATCGTGCACTTGGCATGGTTTGAAGTAGCCGATTTTGTTTATTCAAAATTCGGCTTTATGTGTAAAAATATAGAATTTTTTTATTTAATTAATCTTTTTAGTAATTTAATTCTATTAGTCATAGACGTTTATGCAATACATCATAGAGAAGGTAACTGGCTAGCTTACGAGGAGACTATCATGCATTGTTGGAACGATCTTTTTTTATAGTTTGATAGAAAAAATTACAAGCGCGCACCGTTGATATTCTTTTCGAATATTTTTTATTGGATAGAAACCAATCATCCAATAGTTGACGTTATTATTAATCATCTTCCTTCTTTAAGCGATTGTCCTGTAGAATTATTTCACGGCATTATTAGGTGGCGTATCTCTAAGTTTTCGACTGGAGAACAATTACAAAGCACAGCACATAATATTTATCAACAATGCCATAACAATGATTTTCAACAACACTTTGTACGGTCTGAAAAGTATCCTTATTCGCCAAAACAATTGCAGATGCTTTCTCAAAAATACGCCATACATCTTTTAGAGATGTTTACTAAATTATACTATGCATATAATGAAATTTCTTTTATTATTCATTCTTCTGATAATATTAACACATATAAATTATCATCATTAGGTTACGAAATAATGGATCGCCACCTTCCAAGAGGTTTCGTTACATTAAGGAAACCTGATATTTCGACCTTATGCGATTCAATTGATTGCAATGCCTTTTACGATTCAATTAATGGCTGCGTTCTTGCATGCAGACACGGTTACCATAGTTATTACTTACAGAATCAGCAATTCAAATGTTTAATCTGTTTAGATTATTTACAAACAGAAGTTAGAAAAAATACTGATGCTTTATTAAAAAATTTAACAAAAACTTTAGACGAAAACTTACCCAAAGACGAAATTGAGGAAGATAAGGACGACAAAGATTTGGATGAAATTCAAGAAATATCTGACGATGTAACAATTGAGCACCAATTGGAACAAGCAAAAAAGTTATTTTTTGAAATGTAAAAAAAAAAAAAAGTATTAAAAACAAATAAATAAATAAGTCAAAATAAATTAAGTTGTTAAAAAATACTTACTACTAAACCCAATTCTGATTAGTAATGGGCAGTTACTTATCGATTAGATTAGTATTAATATCAATTACTTATGAGAATCGATAACAAATGTAATTAATCTCACATTTGCGTCAGCGATAAGGAATTGATCTGAGATATGTATTTCTAATCGTGATATAATAATTACATAATTAAGAATGATAATTTCATAGTTATTGTATGCAAATTATGAAGTAATC